AAAGATCAAGGTAACTTATTTTAACAGTCATCCTTTTTCTAGTCTCAAGATGACACGAAAAAGGGTCTGTGGATTCACTAGAAATACACTGCCGAGGATGTTTAGACCTAAAGTGACTGGAGTATATCCGTGGATGCTTTCGAGGGATCTGTTCACGTGCTGATCACTGTTTACGTTTAATGTCTTTCTTCAGCGCCCAGAGTATAGATATGTATGTTCTTGATGTAACTTTATTACATAATATGTGAAACTCTTGTACCACCCAAGATGAAATTTGCAATTTGTCAGCAAAGCAAGAACGTAGTAAGGGTTCAAATTTCTTTCTGCTTAACTAACTTAAGGATTTTGGCTAAGGGCGGGATTATAACTGAACTGACGCACAAGATTTGTAAAATAGCAAAATTCTCAGAATGAACTGGATAAGATGGATAGCAGCGGTATTCGTGCCAAATAGGTCACAAAAGGTCGTTTATAAGTATAATTTCGTCACAAACTCGGTAAACGTTCATAATTTTTTAGGCAGCCTCATGTAGCAGTTTCTGGTTTTCAACATGTCCTACCTACAACTGCAAAGGCTGAAATAGTGGTTGGTCACAGAACATAAATTATTTCTGTACAATGAACGGCACAACATTAAGTTACTATGATGTTGCAATACATTTTGCAATGAGTATCAGTTATATCAATTGGGCCATTTTCAAACTGACTGGAGCGCTACACGGCTCTAGTTATCAAGTGCATTATGTGTTATATTCTACAAGAAGGCCAATGTGACGCGGATCCGTTTTTTTTTTTCGTTCCAACAGGAAATGAAACCATGTTGACGTTAGTATGTGGATGGACATAAGGAAGATACAAGTAAGTTATTTATATAAAAAGTCTATTAAATATTAAGAAACAGAAAATAGAAGGGTCGCTTTTCCTTCATCTAACAATCATTTTAGCATTAGCTGACCAGACAGACGTTGTCCTGTCTTAGCTATGGACTGCGATAAATAATGAATAATAAAGGATTAAAAATATATGGAAGACAGGTAATTGTATAATGACGTGTTTCTACCGCCCTGTGGCTAGCAAAATACGTTGGCAGCACTGCCATTCCCCAATCAACTTACCTTGAAGGTAGGCATAAAATTATGTCGAATGGACTTTGTGGTGCCAAATGACATCATTTGAAAGCAATTATTGTATTGCTGGATATGAGTCATAAAATGTATAGAATCTGGCCCACTTCTCGAAACCAATGAATGTAGTGACTCTGGTGGTGGTACCAATGGAGTCAGTTTGATTTTTCGACTGAACCAACAAAACCCAGGGATTCATTTTTAAACTTGAATCCGATAGCAATGATTTCTTGTGAGCTTTAATCGATTGCAACATCATAATTGAATGCAGGTCGATTGGGATTAAATTTTAGTCTTTCGATCACGTTCAACTTCGTTTCTCGCTTCCCGTTGCTCGTCAGTTTCACTTCTTCGTATATATCTTTGACTTACAGAATTGCGAGTTCTGCGACTAAGATTGGTACATCTAATTCGTGGCATTTTGCAGAACCACAATTTTAATATAAGGTGTGATTGCGCTGAACTAACTTCCCCCTTCTTAGTCATTTTTGAGCAAGTACTTTAAAGAAAACTCACTGAACAAGCTGAATACTGGATAAAAGCTCTAATCGAATGAACTGTGCACTACTAATTAAATAAAACAATATTTTTTCACAGATAAATACCGTTAAATGATAATACAAATTTGTGGCGTGCGAGCTATCAAGTTCAAAATGATAGAGTAGTGAAAGTCAATTAAGCAAAAGAAGCGTATTTTCATCCGCCATTTTTATTCATAGAGTTAACTGACAAAGATAGCAATTAGGCAACACTGCAGTTTCTTTTGAAGGGGCCATCACCAAGTACGGATGGTAAAAAAATGTAAGTCCAAAAACAAAAGCACCGTATTTTCATAAGCAATTTTCTCTCAGATTTCCTGCGCAATTTTCTTGATTTTTCTTCTTCTATACAGTATAAGGGAAACTTAAAAAAAAAGATGAATGAAATCGGTAAAGTCGTTCTCAAGTTATGGCGTCATCACTCGAAATAGGGATTCATTTTTATATACAGGGTGTTAATAAAGTATGCACAATAAATTTAACGGACGATACTTTGAGTAATTTTGAGCCAAAAAGTTAATATAAACATATAGCCGCAAATCGGTCGTTCTCAAGATACAGACTTTAAAAGCTTTTTAAAAAAATGTTTTATCGCAAAAATATTTTGAATATCCTTCACATGATTTTGTTATAATTTGGCAGTGGTATTCATATCACTAAGGATTTAATCTAGCCGTAACTTGATTAAATTTATTGTCCAGTGGCGTCTCGAGCGGGATCTGAACGAATATTTGTGACAAAAAAGTGTACGCCAATGGTTCTTGCGCAATTTTTATCATGGATTGGATTAAGCAAATAAAATTCAGCTGTTTATCCTCTTGAATTTTTTGTATCCTGCTTAGTTTTCGAGGAAAAAATTCCACTTAATTCCATATTCCCGGACCACACAACGAATATGAGGGAACGCTTCTTTTGGAAGTTATTATTTTTTTATAATTTATTATTACTATGTAACAACAACAAACACTAAATAACATTAACATAATTAATAACTAAAAATTATAAAAAATAGTAACTTCCAAAAGAAACTTTTCCCCATATGCCTTGTGTAGTCCACGAATATGCAATTAGGTGAACCTTTCCTCTCGAAAACTAAGCACCCCCAGGTGCCGTTCCGCTGGCTGGAATTTTCCCACGGCGGGATGCGAAAAAAATTCGAGTGAAGTAGTATTTTTATTTTTTTAATCCAAAAAAAATATAAAATTGCACAGAAACCAGTGACGTACACTTTTTTCTTACAAATATTCGTTCTGATCCCGCTCCAGACGCCACTGGACCTTATTAATTTTATTAACTTACGGCTAAATTAGCTCCTTAATGTTATAAATGCAAAAGATTTTTTCTTAATTTCAACACCCTGTACCTTGAGAACGAAGAATTTGCGGACCTAGGTCCATTCGAACTCTTTGTCTCAATATTACTTACTGTTAAATTTATTCTAAATACTCTGTATATAATGATTAAACAGCATTGTGTTGAATTCAAATTGTCCTTATTTTCCCTGGCCTGATCACAGGTTTCTGAATGAGATTATATCGGTATTGTCAAACAACAAACAACCCTCTGATAACTTTCCAACGGAGGCTATGGAAGTGCGTGAAAGTTTAAGCATTGCAATTTGACATCTCTCAGAGATGGTGTCTTTATAACTGTAGGTGGAATGGAATTCTTCAAAATTATCGATATTTTCTACATCTACAGGAGGCTTGTTGGATCCCTAATGATGGTACTTAGCTTGGAAGTGCAAGAGCTACATTGTACCTTATGAGGGTAGAAAAATGAAGGTCGTGCCTCTGAGATGTATTTCTAATTAATCAATAGAATGAACCATTATGACCTAACAGAGAAGTTATGCAGATGCGTGGCGTACTTTTTTTTTTGACTCAATATATCCGTCGCAATTGATGGCTCTCCTCTTCATCCCAAAATGTCAACGCGGCATTCCCCAGGGATCGATGCTAGCTTCAGCATTGTTTCTGTTACATATCAATAACCTACACTCAACAGGTTTCGCTGCTCAGAGCTTCCCTCCATGATGCCGCCGTGTGTTGAGCTTGCCAAACGGATCCGTCAAACGTCTTCCCCTCCAGCTCGGCTCTGTCCAACTTCGCACATCCAGAACTGGCCAGTACGACCGCTCCTTTATTCCCAAGAGACGAAATTGGGTAACAATCTGCCTCTGATTCAAAAATCGGATTAACAAGACGTCTTTATATCAGTTGCGATGTCTCCCTGTTTAGGCTTTCACCTAAGCGGTTGCTTGGTTTAAAGAGCTGTTAAAATGTCGTTAGGTTTGTGAACAGTCTATAACTAGACATATCAGTTTTTTCAGCCACTTGTATTTTCCGTAAATCCAACAGTCAATAATAAATCCATAATTCAAACCACTCACTGGTGACTGGTAGGATTAATAAATGCATCCTGTCAGATACCTGATAAAAATTCCAACAACAGCTTTATTCCATTAAGTTTGGCCCCAGTCGCCAGGTGTTGACATACCGAAACAAAAATAAAGTGCGATGCAATACTCATGAGTACTGTTGAAAGCCGATAGCCAGTTTCGGAAAAGTTATCTAGGTCGATGATAAATAATATGGTTTGTTGATCGTAGTCGTCGAATTTAGTTCCAACTCTGTCAAAAAGCATGCAATTAGTCTCCAGTGACATTGCAATAAGCGTTTTTGATATTCCAAATCTCGCGATTAGCGTAGCTGCCCACTAAGACTCAATAGTTCTAACTGGTGGAATTACCAAATTCTGGTTTAATGACTTGGAAACTTTTTTAATTCATTTAAAATTACTTTTTTAATGTATTTAAAATTGCTATTATAACGTCAATCTACATACAGAAATATAAATCTCCTGGTGGCCAATATACTGTTGAATATATTACGTTATTAGGATAAAATTATGGGCATACTATACGTATATAATTAGTAGTTACATGTAGGTATTTTGCTTATTTATTTACTACTTATTTGCTTTATTGTTATAGGTGCAAAATGGCATCGGAAAAAAGAAAGTTTTCCGAAGATTACGTTATGTTTGGATTTACCTTCATGGAAAAAGACGAGTTACAATTGCCTGAGTGTGTGATATTGCATGAGGCCCAATCACCTTGAAAGGCATTTGAAGCAACAAAATTCTACTGTGGTTTTGGAAACGGAAGAGTTTTTTCTTCTAAAGCAGAATCACTTAAGCGGATGAAACTGGATAAATCGGGAAGTTATCACACAGCATCTCAAAGCTTCATTTGAAATAGCTTTCATGATAGCAAAGCAAAAGGAACCTCATACTATCGGTGAAGAATTAATAAGGCCATGTTCTATGCTATGCTATTTCTCTTTCGAATAACACAGTCAAGCGTAGAATCGATGACATTGCAGCAGACATAAAGTCACAAATAATTACCAAAATAAAATTATCGCTATTTGTTGCCATTAGTTGCGATGAATCCACCGACATCGTTAATTGTGCATAGTTAATAGTGTACGAGTATGTTCGTTACATCGGCGGAGATATCATTCCAGAAGAGATTTTGTACTCTCAATCTTTGACAGCAGGTACTACATCTGAAGATATATTTAATCCAGTATCACATTTTGTTGAAAAAAATGATTTCAATTGGAAGAAACTCATTGGATTTGGACTGTTCTCAGATGGCGCGCCTGCAACGATAGATGTACGATCGGGCTTTGCTAAAAGGCTCAATGAAAAAAATCCCGCAATGGTTAGTACACATTGAGTTATTCATCGGCAAGCTTTGGCTTCCAAAACGTTCTCATAGAAATTACGCCAGACTTTGTACTCGGATATAAGGATTGTAATTTACATCAAGAGCAGCGCTTTGAACAGTCGGTTATTTGCTTTACTTTGCGACGATCTCGATTCTGAACACAAAGTTCTTGTGTTCCATACAGAAGTACACTGGCTGTCCAAAGGCAACATGTTGGCTCGCCTTTATGAATTGGAAGTAGAGGTAATTCTTTTTCTTGAGTTCAAAGAAAAACACGATTTCATGACAATGTTTAAAGATGACACATTTCGATGGAGGTTGGCTTATTTAACTGACATATTTGACTCCTTGAATGAGCTAAACTTGAAACTTCAGGGCAAAAACCACACTATAATAAGCCAATATGATTATATTCAGGGGTTCATATCAAAGCTTTAACTTTGGAATCAAAAAGCGTCTTCTGAGAATGCTATATCTTTTTCTCGACTGTTCAAAGCAATTAAAAATAACATACTGGACGCCAATTTAAAAGATGATATAAAAACTCATTTGCGAGCGCTGGAGACATCAATTCAGAGTCACCAATATCGCACATGACAAGAAATCCGTTTGTTGTCGATGTGTCACAATTACCAGAAAAAGTTTAGGAAGAATTTCTAGAAATGAAGGCTGATTCGTCCATGAAAGATGACTTCCAGCTTTTAACATTGGAGAAACTTTGGATCAAAAGATTGCGTGTTTATTCGACACTTGCCTCTCTTGCTTTACTAACACTAGTTCCTTTTTCTTCAACTTACTTATGTGAGACAGGCTTTTCTGCTCTAGTTTTAATTAAAATTAAACAGCGAAATCGTCTTGATGTCGATACCGACCTGATGATAGCTCTGGCAAAAACAGAACCTAGAATCAGCCAGCTGGTACAGAACATGAAATCTCAAGTGTCTCATTAGTACCTACTCTTATTTTATTCAAGTTTTGTGATAAAAAACATTTATTAGTTTATTTAAAATTTTAAAGTTTCTTTATTAGAATTAAAATAAAAGTCTTTGTACCTATATAATGTGCGTTTCTTTTGTGTTTATTGAAAATTAAAGGGGGGCATGAAAATATAATTTACAGTCCGGGGAGCCTTAACAAAGAAAAGATTGGAAAACCCTGCCTTAAACAATAGTGAAGCTCCTTCATCTCAAGTTTTATAAAAGCGTATCAGAACTGTTTTTCCCTCGTAAATCTTAAAACGCTTTTAATCGAAAACTTGAGTCGAAGGAGGTTCACTATTATTGAAAAGTTAAGAAGTATAGAACGACATAAATTTTCAATCGTAAAATTTTTTTCAATTTCAGCCAAACTTTTCAACGTATAATAATGTAGTGAGGCGTACAGTATATGTGATCTTGTAAAAGCCTCTCATTAGTCAATATCATAGTTCACAAATTCGAAGACAAACATAGGAACAGAAAAAACATAGGTAGCTACAATGTGAGCAACAATTTCTTTTTGCTGCATAATCAAGGTAAAACACGGTACAATGTTCTTTCGTAAAACAAGAGAAACGTACAATTACGATTATGGATACATCATATCTCTAAAAGCAATACAATACTACTTACCAGAGCCCTCCAATATTGGATCATGATGATACCATCCTGGAAAATGATAAAGCTCTTGCGAGGAAGCAAAACTAAGCGTAACCCTTTCCACTGACTTCGGAGTCATCATAAACTTTATTTTATCACGAAACATGCATAAAAAGCAACGACCGCACGATATTTTGGCAGTCACCTTAAAATTGTAGCTGATGCAACAAATACTGAAATTGCCGTGCGGTGCATTGCAACTGCATTCGCCCAACGTTTTACGATTAACGTCATTATAAGGTACGTTACACTGCGTTATGAGTGATTTTTTTTGTACATGAATATTAGAAAAATAGACAGCTGTTTTAGTGCGATCGATGAAACGCGATAGACTCATTTTGTACTATCGGTATGAGCTTCAGTAAAACAGAAACCGTTTTTACCATGATGTTGACGTCATTTTTCCAATGCACACTGTTATAATGATATTTCAGCTGTGGTGTTTTTTATACCAATAAAGTGCTATTTTTTTTAACATGGGCTCAAAGTATCAAATACAATCTGTCTAAATCGCTCAAACAGTGGTAATTGTCAAAATGTCACTTACGATGTCAGTCGACAAATGTATCGATATGAGAACAAACGACTTATATAATGTTTAAGACATTCAATACTTATACTCCCTTTTTTTTTCAGGTACGTATCCATTCATCTGTTATGGTGGTAAGTTAAAATATTCACCTTTGCAGGAAGAGAACATCTGTTTCTAGCCAACTACTTAAATCTCAATTACCATCAACTCTGCGTTAACAGAGTGATAAGTTGGGCATCATGGTGCTTACTGTAAACTCAAAGGTCGGAATAAAAAGGCTAAAGGCGACGTGGTTGCCTAACTTCTAAGGTACATTGAAAGAGGTGAAGTGAACAGATGGGCACATAAATAACAGCCCACTTGATCAATGTGAAAGACAGAAACGTGGCACGCTTGATCAGTGCATTTGACAAATGTAGCCGCGATTCCCTTCACGAACACCTAACATACTCTAGGTCTATTCTACCGCGATGTCAATATGAATTACTCCTCAGAGTTCTGCTCCACGATACCACCGCGCGATGTACCTGCCAGACAGACCCGCCAGACTTCGCCCTCCCATCCTAACCACGTCAAACTTTGTGTATCCAGAACAGGTCGGTACGACTGCCTATTTGTCTCTCGATCGTACCAATCTGCCTTAAGAGAATGTTCCTAGTTCTACTAATCTTAGAATAGAATATAGAATAAAATAGAAAGGATTTATTTAGCTTTAAGCTACTTCAAACAATAATAAATATTATTTACACAAAATATGTTGATTTTACAGAGAGGTCGTCACTTCAAACCAAAATAGTCTGTCCTAAGTCTCTTTTTGAATATTTTCTCATTGCTAGATATTTTCACATTATTAGGCAGATTATTGTACATTTTTAGACCTTCAACATACATTGACTTTTCCTTTAAATTTAAATCTTATTAGACGTAATTTTCTTTTGATCTAATGTCGCAACCTTGCATTTCATATCTTTATTTTAGAAACTGTTCAAGATAAGGTGTACCCTGATTACTGGAAATTATATAAAAGAATTAAATTTCCCTCTTCAATAATTTGCTGCATGCTTAACAAAAATTCAATGCTTTTAGCATATCCTGTAAAGGTGTATACCTGCTACAATTTAACAAAATCTCTCAAAGAGAACACCGTTCACACGTAGTTGCTCACTCAGCTGTTCATTCACTATTATTTCTATAATGTTCTCGACGACTGGCATAGGATTGATGGGCCGCAAGTCTTCTGGCTTACGTGGACTGTTTGTCTTGGATACTAGGACTATAATACACCTCTGTTTCCTATTCTGAGCGATGTATTTACAATATTCACAAGGCAGCTAAAAATTCGAATAACAGGATGTCTTCGAGTCCCTTGTAGGAGCCGCGGTGCCCTGGTACTCTAACTTCTTCCTACGTGGCTGCTTCGGTATAAAAAATACTTTTTGGGTTTATTTAACTATATTTCCTCAAACTTGACAACTTCGCAGAATGCTAGTGATTTCGTTATGTTATGATGCAGTTGTCTGCCGTACTGAAGAATAGTAGATGCTCTGTGATGAAAATAAGATTTCTACATTAAAGTTATGTAAGGTCAGAACACATCCAATTTTCTGAAACACTTTTTCATAGTCTTTTATTTTAAGGCGTGAGTGCAACCAATAACAAAAAAAGTTAAGAAGTGCTAATTTTGCACTAAATGTGACGTGTTACCAATAATAAAAATCCTTGGAAATAACAAATCCGACCGTATCTCCAAACATAAAAAACGAGGTGTGAAGAAGAATAAAAAGCTGTATGAACCAAATAACGGCTCATAAAATTATTTTTAGCACAAGTTAGGCCCTCATGAGGATAAGATTAAGTACGAACATCTATAACAAAGAAATCAAACATAGACATTTCTTCCTTACCCTACCGACAGTCCATCTGGTCACATCGCCTCTCCCCGATACCTAACCTGGCCAGATGTGATAACACGACAGCAATACACTTACCAGGGCCGGCACGCCAACGGGAGGGTAACAAAAACAGTTCTCTGTCATTCCTCACTTTAAGGGCGAACGTACGGGGAAATCTATGATGGGTGAAATATATCTAATAGGTGCGTCGAATTACCGAGGTTAGAAGCCTATATACATACAGGGTGATTCTCAAGTCGTGACCAAAAATAAAGCATCATACACCGGACAGCATTTTAGGGGGGCCTTCTTTGTAACATTTTTTCCGCAAGGGCTTCATTAAAAATAAAAAAACTTTTTTTTTAATATCTTCAAAACCGTCAACTGGAATGAACTAAAATTTGGTATGTGGATTCACGTAAGAATTGTCCACATTCAGAAGTCTTTACTTAAAATTAACGTGCACCAGTGGCGGAGATATAGCAAATTTTCCCGAAATAATTGTAAAGTCTGGTTTTATTGATACAAGTTGTTCAATGGGATATTCAAAACATGGGCGCATAAAGTGGGTACACCAATTTTTGTCGGAAAACTTTTTATTTGACAACAAAGTATGATAAACTTGTTTTTTGGGATTCAATCGAAGGTGATGACTTTTCATATAAGACTTTTAGGTATTTATAGGACCTACAACAAGAGACCACACGTAAAAAGATCCGTTATTAGCAAAAATGTTATTGCCGAAAAATGCAGGTTTTGGTACTTGTTTGTAATGCGACGATAATTTCATGCAACTACTTGAAATTCTTCAAATCCGTAGGATTCATACTTCTGAATTACACCAACAAAATTGGATTATGTTGGTCAAGTAGTTTTTTGAGAATTTCTAATTATTTATACCAAAACATCTGTTTTCCGGCCACCACTACTAGTTTATTGAACAATATACAGGGTTCCTTCAGAGGGCATTTAATAGCAAAATAAACGTGCATATCCTGTCGATACGAATCACAAACAATTCCGAAAGATAAATGTTATTTTTATGCGAAAAACAAAGGTTACGTTTTTTTCTTCTAAACAAATTCAAACATTTCATATTTGTGAGTAATTGAACAAATGCGCTACGATATTCGAAAAGCATACGTTACTATTCACATTTCAAAAAAAAGCGGATGTGTCTGTTGCGAATTACTCACAAATACGAAATGTTTGAATTTTTTTAGAAGAAAAAACGTAGCCCATCCTTTTTTGCATAAAAATAACATTCATCTCCCAGATTGGTTTGCGATTCATATCGGCAAGGTAAACTAGTATATTTTGCTATAAAATGCCCATTGAACTAACCCTGTATATTGCTCAATAAACTAGTAGCGATGGCCGGGTAACAGGTGTTTTGGGATAATTAGAAATACTCAAAAATTGCTTGACCCATCTAGCCAATCACACAAATATAAGGAATTTCAAATGTTAGAAACAATCGTCGCATTACCAACAAGTGCCAAGACCTGCAGTTTGCCTCGGTTTTCGGTTATAACTTTTTTGCTATTAGTCGGGTCTTTTTACATGTGGTCTCATTTTGTAGGTCTCATGAATATCTAAAGATCTTATATGAAGAGTATTTTCGTTCCTGCCAACACTTTCGATTGAATCCCAAAAAACACATTTTCTCATTCTTTGTTGTCGGATAAAAAGTTTTCCACAAAAATTGATGTATCCATTTTATGGGTCCATGTTTTTAATACCTCCTTGAACAACTTGCAGCAATAAAGCCAGACTACAATTATTTCGTAAACCAGGGGTATTTTCTAATACGATTAGACTAATACAGGTAATTAGTGGTATTACTTTTGCAAATAAAAATAGTACACCAGTGTTTTTTTACAAGCATAAAATTTTTGAATTTTACCTTCAATCTGCTACAAATAACTACTCTTGTCTTTTTTCTAGAGTGCACTGTTTTCGTAAAAATAAAAATAAAATGAATTAGATCATTCAAAAAATAGGAGGCCTTGATACTAATTTGATGTTTCTGGAGAGATAATTTGTCAAAGTTATGTGTTGTATGGTTGTTATCATTACTACTACCATTTTTTTTTTGTAAAAGTCAAGTGAAAAGTCTCTTTTTTCCATTTTTGAGTGGTGTGGAATGGAATTTAGCAATGATGAGTAAGCCGATATTATTGTTTTGTACGGTTTCTGTAATGGAAATGATTTGCCGGCTTCTCGGGAGTACTAACGTAGATTTCCTAATAGATGCCAACGTACCCCAAAGGTTTTTACGCGTTCATTTCTAAGACTGTGGCAATATGTAATTTCCAAACTTCCTGAAGTTAGAGGCCAATTTGGCGTTGGATGATCCTAGTATAAGTGCTAGGCGGGTTGCCGCCAAGTTACCATGTTTCCAAAGTCTGGTGTGGAGAATTTCGAATCACGAAGTTTATTATTTGGTCGTTTGAACATCCCCGTTCTGTAAGTTCAGTTACAAGAAAGAGTAGATAATGTGTTTCATCAAATTCAAGCCACAAAAAAATTTGCGGAAATATGTATTTCTTTATTAAAAAGATGCCCCACTTGTATCCATCAGAATGGTGGTCTCTTCGAACATTTATTGAAATAAAGCTTTGATTATCCAATTCGCTTTTCTTTATTTTTACGAAAACTACACTCTATGTTAAAACACAAGAGTAATTATTTGGAGCAAATTGAAGGTAAAATACTAAAAATTGCCCGTTTTGAAAAAAAACAGTGGCGCACTATTTTTATTTGGAAAGATAATGCCACTAATCCCCTGTATCTCCCCCACTGGTGTACGTTAATTTTATGTAAAGACTTTTACATGTGGACAATACTTAGGTAAATCCACTTACCAAATTTTTGTTCATTTCAGTTGACGGTTTTGAATTTTTTTTTAAAAATACCTTTTTTATTTTTAAACTTCAATAATGAAGCCCTCGAGAAAAAATGTTACATACAGGAACCCCCTTAAAATGCGGTCCTGAGTTTGATGTTCTACTTTTGATCACGACTTGTGAATCACCTTGTATATCTAAAATAGAAAAATTGAGATATGCGCTCTCCACCCACCCCATTCCCTGTTTTTTACCCCTAAAAATTGTTTTCAAAAATGATCCTCTACAACGTCAAAAAACGAAGTTTGAGTTATTTTTTATTAAGCTTCTGTCCTATTTTTCCGCCACCACTGGAGAGATTTCCAGAAACTACACAACTTTTTCGTCCTTGACATAGTAGTAATCTTGTGTAAAAATTTCATCTAAATCGGAGGAGTAGTTTTCATGTTATACGGGCCCATGGTTGGCGGACAGACAGACAGACCGACAGACCAACGGGAAGAGGTGGCTCTGATTCATTTATTTCTCTGACAATCTTGTGTAATACTGTTGTTGCAATGATTACCGCATTTGCGGTCTCTAATTGTAGTCATGACTGCAACTAAACTAAGATGGGAAAATACTCTTAGCACCCATAGTTTGAACCTTCGATTCATTTGTGCAGATACGCCTAGCAAAAAATATAGGGTTTCGAGAAAGCTATCGAACGTTACGGAAAAGTAACATGTGAAAATGAGACTGACTTACTACGTATCAGTAACCAAATATGCCCTAAGATTGCAGATAGTATCCCACTATAAGGAATCCCTTTCCCATACTCCAGTGGTTCTTTTGACAACAACTCTGGTCCTTATAAGAACTCCATTTCACAGTTGTTTAGCTCTTGTGGCTTAATAATGCTGTAAAGAGATAACCCCTTCATTTAAAAAACTACAGCGGATCCATTACTTAGTTATAACTGGGCCGACACTAAATGCGCCGTGATAATCCTATCTCAACATCATCGAAATCTCCCAGCTCCAAGTCGTCTTCATGGAATACCCGATTGATCGCTCGAATAGTCCACATACACCAGGGTTTGCACACGCCCAATCTAGAGGGTGTTATTAAATACTCGAACACCCCGAATACTTGGCAACCACACATGTATGTTTAAAAAAGCTTTAGGATAACAAGATAGCAAATTTTCGATGATCTCATACACTCGTATGACCTAGACGATGACCTCAAAGGTCATTTCGAGGTCAATTTTGTATATTCAAATAACAACCACCATTTTTACCATTAAATTCGTGTCTAGTTTGAGCTTTCAAGCCAGAATCCATTTTTATATATGAGGTAAAGCGGTCATAATTGATTCGATCGACATGCCTACTGTAATGTCTGAAAAGTACAAGAACATCCCAAAAACTTGCTAACCATGCATTTTTTGAAAAAAAAGAAACAATTTGTTTATAATCTCTGATATGACCTAGACCAGAGTTCCCCAAACTTTTTTGTGTCGTAGACCCCTTGCCATGTTTTTCCCTGTTGGGTAGACCCCCTACTTACCTGATATTGATTTCCTGTAAATTTCTAACTGTAGTGAAGTCTAGTGTTAAAAACTTAAAGTGTTACATATGTTAATTTATACATTTATTAATTGAATTTAAATTAAAACTACTCAAAATAAAATGTTGTATCTGTTATGTAAAATATACGTAACATTGAATAAACAGGTGTCTGACCAATAAGTGCCCGCATGGGGAATAAGTGCCCGCATTAAAAAAAAAAATAAGAGGGATAAAATAAAAAAAAAAGTGAAAAATAATAAAAAAAAAGTTTTTTACTTAAAATAGTACAATAAGCGACTTCGTTTATTAATTATAACATAAACGTGTGTTCTACAATAATTTCACTGTTAGTTTGATTAAATTCCGCTTCTTATACGTTTAAGTTATCTAAAAATTGGCAAAAAATTAACGAATTTTAGTGTGTATCTATCCTTGAATTTTCAGAATAATAAAAAAAATATCTTCTATAAAGGGCGGTTCTTTAAAAAAATCAGTGCGGGCATTTATTCCCAATGCGGGCATTTATTTTTCAGACACCAATAAACATAAAATAAACTATAAATAAAATAACATAAGCAATAAGCCAATATTTTTAGTGAGAAGTATGAACCTGATGCTTTAATAATAAATTATCAACATTTGGCGTCAATTTTGTAAGGGTTAATCTTAAATCTCCTCGGCTAATGATGTCCAGTGTGTTTCTTTTTTTCGTTCGGAGATTGGTAACAGCGCTGAACCACCTTTCCACTAGGTATGACGATGGAAAGGAAATTAAAAGTTTCCTCGCTATCTTCCAAAATACGGGATAAGTAACGGGTATGTGTGTTTTGCAGCCAGAATTGCTGATATCCGTTTTTAAACTGAACCTTAAGTTCTTTGTTTGTACTTAGTTCAGTCAGTTCCTCTTATATTATGACATTCGTTTCTTCTATGTCACGATATGTATTAAGTTTCCACGGTGGTATTACCATAGTCAAGATATCCTCAAACCTAGATTCAAAATCTGAATAGAGGGCATTTAAATGTTGAACGTAAGTTGAAACGTCGTCTTCCTGGCAGCTTGTCTGTGACAAATTGGGGAACTGAGAAAATTCGCCCCATCTAATATTTTGCTTCATTAGTTTAACTCTGGCAAGAAACGCTGATGAGATGGACTTTGTTTTGATCAAATTTAAACTGTCGCCTTGTAATTGCAAATTAACCATATTAAATTTTGTAAACAAATCTGTTAAATAGGCGATATGCTATATATCATCCTCTTCATTAAATTTTCTCTTAAAATTTTATCTTTAGTATCCAGAAATTCTAAAATAGTCTCAAAAAGTGCAAAAAATCTTGTCAAACATAAGCCTTTCGACAGCCAGCGTACTTCAGTGTGAAGGAGTAATTGATGAAAGTGTTCGTCATTTTCTTCACACAGCTGCTCAAATAACCGCGTATTCAACGCGTTGCTTCAGATTCGGTTTACTGCATCAATGATTAAATGAAGTGATTCATGCAATCTAACACTCAAATTTTTAGCAACTAAATGTTGTCGATGGATGACGCAATGTATTGCTAACACCCCAGACACATTTTGTTTTAAATAGCTTATAAATCCACGATAACGTCCAACCATGGCACTTGCTCCATCTGTAGCTACTGATATTATATTTGATAAAGGAATTGCTTTTTCAATGAAGTAATCCTTCAAAACATGAAATATTGATTCACCTTTAGTGTCCGTTATCAAAGTTCTTGCGAAGGGCAGTTCTTCGTAGATTTCTTGATTCATAATAAAAGAACATATGCCAATAATAATGCTGCATTATCAGGTAAAGTTGACTCGTCCAGTTGTATAGAGAAATGGGTCGTTTGCAAATAATTACATAAGAAGCTTTCAATATCAGAACTCATTTCATCAATACGTCTTTCAACAGTATTGTTGCTTAAGGGAATTCTTTTAATGATATCAGATGCAGGTTTGTGTAAACCAATTTTTAAAACCTCTTCAACGGCTAGCAAAATTAACTTCTCTCCGATAGTATGCGGTTTTCCGGATTTTGCTATAAGAACGAGATATTGTAAGATGCCCGCAAACCATCATCATTTCTTTGTTACGTCGAAGCGAACATTCTGTCCAGTGTAGGTCTCTTCTGAAATTTATCTTTGAGTGTTTGAAAGTATTTCAAATCTTTCTCTGTTTTATCAGGGTGGCATCTTCTCAGATGATCTTGCAGTTTAGATGGTTTCATAGCGTCATTGCCCAAAATTTTGTTGCACAAAAGGCACATAGGCGATTGTTTGTCCGGCAGTGATATAATGAAATAAGACAGAAAATCCAGCAGCTGTATATTAAAAATATTTTTTGATTTTTCCGAAAACATTCCATAATTCGAACATCTTGCAACAATTAGCTCGAATTACGGATATTGCACTGTAATTATATTACCGATTGCTAAAACTTTCAAAAAGAAACTATTGAGGAGTACTCGTGTAATTTTGCATGATTGAATATTTAACTACTAATAACTAAAGTCATGATTGGCGTAATTATCAGAATCCATTTTCATGCATGAGGTGAGGCAATCATTAATCACCGCTGTAAAAAATGGTGGTTGTCACTTGATTTTACAAAGTTGGCCGCCAAATGGCCTCATCATCAACAAATTGGTCATTTAATACCATGAAACTTTTCTAAGGATCTTTTTAGCGTGACCGCCAAGTTTTTGGGCTGTTCGTACACTTTTTACTACACTTTATGTTTGAAGATAAATTCTTATGTAGCTCCGCATGAGTATCTTGCCAAAAATGGTGGTTGTCATTTAAATTTACCATGATGACCTCCAAATGATCTCTGAGGTCATTGTTTAGATCATATTTGATGTCATCGGCAAATTGCTTTTTTGATACCCTGAAACTTTTCTTAGCACCTTTTTCCTAGGCAGAGCGTGGATCTTCGGGTATTTAATATTCATAAGTAGTTATCGTCAGAAGAAATTCAACAAACCTCAACGTCAAACTGCGCTATCTACCGTTTAAGTGCATGCTAGCTTCCGCAATGCACAATCCAATTAGTGAATAATCGCCACTTTTCGTTTGTGCAACCGAAAAAGGACTACGACTACCTGTGTTATGAATGTGGGGGTCGAACGTATCAGATTAGACACACTAGGAGGCGTAGAAATAAGATGGTTTGACCGCTAAGTGCCCTAACTATAAGCATTTTATACCCTTTTGTGTACAGCTCGCATGATATACGATATCGTGGTGTTCTGCGTGTGCTTTTAAAATTCCATACAAAGGATTGTGAGGAAAATCAGCATGCTCGCGTCTTTCTAAATAGCTTGTGTACACACGGGTGTGGAAGTGTGCTAATTATAAATGGCAATTTGTATGCTTGTGCTGGGTGGGGCTAATATGCAGACTAGCGGGAAACTTCACTGTTGATTATGGTAATTTGTTCACAGAGCAGTTCACTGCTTCATCTAGGTTATTCACGGATATTAATAGAAGTTGCACCAAGGACTTTACGGATACCTTATTCGTTGCATCAGCGAGAAGTTCCGGCTTTCTCCATTTGAATTGTGCTATTTGGAACCTAGTAATCGCTTAAGCGGTACTTAGCTCACTTTGAGTTAGGACTTATTAATTTCCTGTCACGATAGCTTTTAGCAAACTAGTGTATGCGTGTGCAAGCAGTGGACCATTTGGACTTATCGATCGATCAACCGGATATTCTGGAAGATGACCTAGAGCTGGCAGATGATGACAATGTTACGATAGGACTACCACGGTGCATTCAGAGGCGGCCGTGGGACAGATCTGCTGGGATTTTTTGAAAGGAGCCATCTCTCTACACCTTTACTAAGCCCTGCAATTAGAGCTGAACAACTGCACAATGAAGCTCTTGTAAGAACTATAGGAATATGGGAAAGAGCTTATTTATAGTGGGATACTGCCATGCTAAGTACAATGGGGGTATCTGTTTGTAATTTTGATAGAGTGTGTTGCCGTAACATAGTTCGTTCATCACTCCGTTATTCCGTCAAATATCTCGTGAACATACTATCTTTATTTAGGGGGCGAAGTTTAGCATACTGCTACTCTGCCACTTAACCAAAAAAAAACCTGAAAAAACATATATACATTTAATAAGTTAGAAGTTTAAAAATGTAGGTGCATAAAAAATATGATGTATATAACATATATAAGTAAAGGCTATTCAATATTTCATGAGTTAAAAGTATAAAATTGTAACAGTTATACAAAACAAAGGAATGCTAAATTGGAGATATTTTGGTGTGAGGTGACAGATAAATTTTATCAACTAATTTATATACTTCTATTCAAAATAAATTTCTTCATATGTCTTTTAAATTCATCACATAATAGCAATCTTGTGGATCGAGGTAGAGCATTGTAAAAAATACTTGCGCCGTTGGTGAAGCATTCACGAAAGTATGATGTCCTACGAAGGGGCATTGTGAGTGTTTCAGTAAATCGAATGTCCCTATAATGGATATTGCTTCTAGATATCAGCTTATTTCTCAAAAACGGCGGAATGGATGATAGCAAAAGCCTGTGGGTGTGTAGCCCACACAGTTCATTTACTCTCTACCACGTCATGTCATTGAAAACAGGGCTGATATTATCATATTTTTTCAAATTATTGGTCAACCTACAACATGAGTTTTGGATTTTTTGGAGACGTGCTAGAGGTATTGAGTCAAGAAATCGAAGTTAAACTAAATTGCAAAAACTAATTTTGGATTTAATTTTCTTTAAAATTTCTTTTGGTATCACTTCTAGATAGTTTTGGTAAAAAAATGATGACTTTCGAGTTTAAAGGGCTCAACTGATGGATATCTTGCATTAGTATGGGGTTGTCCAAAACGGACGCAGGAAAGTAAACGCATATTAAAACAAGAAAGATTGATATTGTTCACCACGACTGGATTTACAGACGTCCACGCGATGGTCGAAATTTTCAATGACATTTTGCAACATGGTCGGTTCTATGGCATTTATCTCGGCAATGATGTTGTTTTTGAGTTCTTGGATGGTGGCTGGTTTGTTGACATAGACTTTGCTTTTCAAATATCCCCATAAAAAGAAGTCCAAGGGAGTCAAATCGCACGATCTTGGTGGCCATAGCACATTTCGTCTGCGCGAGATCACGCGATCAGCGAAGAAGGACTGCCATCGATGGACATTGACGTTGGTTGTGTGGCATGTTGCACCGTCTTGTTGGAAATAAACATCGTCCATATCCATTCCTTCAAATTGCGGCAAAAAATAGTCGGAGCAAACTGGTTCTCGAAATGCCCAATTCTTGGGATCGACGCGTTGTTGATTGTTTCGGATCGTCTCTCACACTCTTCTTCACAACAGCAATATTTTCCGGTGTGCGAACGCTCCTTGGCCGGCCAGAGCCTGGCAGATTTGCCACAGAACCTGTTGCCTCGAATTTACGCACCAGACGACCGATGGTTGTTTCGTTTGGGCGGTTGTTGCGACCGAAATGTTCACGAAGCGCGCGAAACGTGTTTTTTATTTTTGCACCATTTTTGTAGTGCTCTTGAATAACTTTAATGCGGTCTTCAATCGAATACGACTCCATAGCGATCAATGGTAAACATTCAACTAACAAAATGACATGTCGGTGACAGAAAACAAAGATGGCGTCTATGTCAAATTGACATTTACTTTCCTGCGTCCCTATTGGACAACCCTTTACTAATAGATGTTATATTTTCATTTACCTCAGATTCAGCATTTCGAATGTCGTGATAATGGAAATGACTGTAGATCTGTGAATCGTCGGCAAAGAATTGGAGATTACAATATTTAACAACTGAGTGGATATCAGGAATATACAAAATGAATATGAGTGGCCCAAGTACAGACCTTTGAGGCACTCCGGAGGAAATGAGGCACTTTGAAGATGGAACCATGTCAATATGAACCCTTTGATATCGATTTCCTAAGAAGCTCTGAATCATTTTTGAGGCAGAATCAGAAAACCCAAAATATTTACACTTGCCTACTAGAAGGCGATGATGTATGGTATCGAATGCCTTAGAGAAGTCAAGAAGAACTAATGATGTGATCATATGTTGATCTCAGGCTCTAACAATGTTATCGGTTAGGTCTAGCTGGGCACCTGCGGTGTTATATCCTTTTCGATAACCGCATTGTTTGGGAGGCAAAATTTTATGTTTAGAGAGATAATCGTAAATTTGGACGTACATTACTTTTTCTAATAATTTGGACAAAACAGGTGAAATAATAATTGGTCTTAAGTCATAATATAATTTTGGTTTACTTATTTTAGCTATGTTGATCATTTGCAATTTGGAAGTTATAATCATGGGAGTCGGAAATACCTTCACCCTCTTCTGTTTGGTCGGTACTCCCCTCCACTC